ATTCACACATAGACAAGCTACGTGACATCAATACAATAATAATTTGCTTAAAACCCCCGGGGAATTTGAATGCTAACTTTTCGATTAGATTTACATTATGTACAGGTCTGAGAATCAAAAATAGAACAAAGGGAGTGATAACAAATAGAAGATTGATTATTTGAGAAAATATAACTGTCGTAAACAATATGATCAAATAGATAGGATGTTGATCAAGTAAGTTATCGACGCTGCTGATTTTAAGAAAATGACTTCCAAATATTAACAAACCATATGAAGCGAGAAAAGGTAATAAATAATAAGTAAGTTCTTTTGCAACTAAAAATTGTGTAATAACACTTAAGTATAGCAAATAAGAGGATATTTTATAATCAAATGACACGTTGAAAGATATAGTGAAATAAAAGGTTAAAATAGCTATACTGTAGATATAAATGACTGAAAAAAAATTGTTTGTATTTAAACATGATATAACTTCCGCAGGCAACAATAATAAGAAATATATACAAGAAAACTAGAATAAATGGCAGAAAAATGATCAGAAGCGACGAAAAAAATAGAAAAGAAATCTTATATTTTTCGGTAAATAGTTGATTCAACTTTTCTTTTAGAAATTTCGACAAATTTTCACCAACAACTATAAAATAACATAGATTCTTGTAGAGAAAAACCCAGGAAGAAACCATTGGACTAATAACCCACAAATTTTTAAGGTTTTGTTTCCTGAACGTTGTATTCATGCTATAAATGTAAGTTATTTTGTTTTCAGAATATCCAATGTTTATGACAAATAAAGTTTTAAACAAAATAGAATTTACATATATTAGGAGTTATACTTGAAAATGTTTTTTTTTAAATGAAATATAGTATTTTCAATCAACGGATCCATATCGATATGGGCTAGGTGCTACAGAAAAGAGGGAAGTCGACAAAACAAAAGATTTTCGGAAGATCAATTTTTATGTTATAAATTTTATAATAAACCATAAAAAAATACAAACTTTAAAGAGCTATATTACAAAATTTTATTAATACGTACAACTGCTTTCATGTTTTAAGTGAAAAATGATCTTAATCTTATTCTAAATTGAGTTGTGTAAAAAAAAATTTTCGAAAATTTGTCGATTTCCCCCTTTTCTGTAGCACTCTGCCCATATGGCTCCGGTTGACTGATCCAGCTGATTAAAAATATCAAAATTTAACCCAGCCTTCCAGAATACCAGTTACGTAGTACGAAGTACGAAGTGTATGGTTTACAGGCAAATTTTTAGCTATCCTAAAATTTATTAAAACAGCTGTAAATTGGAATTATAAGCTGGGTAATGGCAAAAATTTTTATAGGAGATTGTAATCATTAAAATTAGGCGATATAATATAATAGAATTAAATGACGTATAATAAGTTACCGTATTACTCCGAAAATAAGCACCCCCCTCGGAGCAATTTTTATAGCCAAAATTCTCGCGATCTAGAAAACGGATCTGCATAATTTTGGTACCATTCGAATCGACTTGTCAAAATTATTCGAATGGTACCAAAATTAGACAGATCCAATCACTAGATCATGAGAATTTTGGCTATAAAAATTGCTCCAAGGTGGCTTATTTTCGGAGGAATACGGTAATATATATTCTAGAAATATATAATTTAATTCAAGTTGATAAAAAGTCAACAGATCAAAAAGATGGCTAAGCAGGGATACGTCGGTCACAGCCTTGCTAACCCTATAACGATAAGAAGGATGTACTAGATCGGCACGGGCCTTTGTGGCACGGGTCAAGATCCGGATTTGTCGGGTATGGTCTGAGTTGGTATGGATTCGGTGGACCGTGTGCAGGGACCCGTAAATTTAAATTTTAAAAACTCATAATTTTTTCTGATAACAATAAAAATTTAGGCAAATTTTATATAAATTGATTTAAATTTAGTAAATTTTAGATAAATTTTTAAATTTTGCCGATTGTTATTAAATATAAAATTAGGAATTAAGTCACATAAATTTATGTCTCTAGATCACGGCATCAATATCCAATACAAACTAATCATATATTGTATACCTTAGAAGTTACTGCGCTTTTCAAATTACTGTGTTCATCAGATGATCGCCCATCACACGAAAATCAGGAGATTTTTTTTAAATTCTTACTTTTTTTCAAATTTCTACTTAAGAAATAAAAATTCCAAAGATTCCCTATCAATTTCCAATTCTTTAGTAAAACATCCACTAGTATTCTAAATTTTGTGGTTACTGGACCGGGCCATAACGAAGATTTTCAACTTTTTTTTTGATAATTTCAAAGATTTCCGTTGCATTATAATTTTTTATAATATTTAGATTTTTTTAGTTTCTTAACTGAGCAATAATAAAATTTTTCAGTTTTTTTTTTGTTAATTGAGCAGGCAATAGTAAAAAGTTTCACAAATTTACATAAAATTAAATTGATACATAATTTAGAATGCCACGTTCTTTTAGCGAAGACCTTAAGTGGCGCATAGTTTTCTTGTGCTATGATGGTCGCTCCAAAAAAGAAATTGCATCTACCTTATATCTAAGCATATCGTTAGTGAATAAAGTTTTGAGAATATACCGAAAGTGGGGCACAGTTGTTCATCCATGGCGCCAAATTCCTGGGCCCCAAAAAACTTTTGACAGAAATGATATGAACGTATGCATGGTTTTATTTGTTTTTATAATTACAGGATTTATTTATTTTTAATAATTTTTTATATGTATAATTTAGATTTTGCAACAGATTGTCAGGGAGAAAGTCGATTGGTATTTGGATTAGCTCATTTGTGAGATGGAACGATGCACTGGAAAGTCTGTGTCAATCCCAACGCTTTGGAGATCTTTGGCTTACTGCGGCATCACACGAAAAAAAGTTTTTTATTTTATTTTATTTTTATATTTTTATTTTTGTCTTTTTTAACATTTATATAATATGTATGTTTTTTTAATAGCTTCAAAAAGATGCCAAAGAACGAAATGAGCTTGTGCGAAGTGCTTTTATGGCACGTATTGGTGCCCAGTATCAACCCGAACAATTAATCTTCTTGGATGAATCTGCCAAAGACGAACGTACTATAACAAGAGGTTATGGATATTCGGAAATAGACACCTGAGCAAGAAAAAAAGTGATATTTGTACGCGGAGTAAGATACACAGTTTGTCCAGCTTTAACTTTACAAGGAATAATTGCTGCTGATATTGTAGAGGGCAATTATACAAAGCAAAAATTTAAGGATTTTGTTATAAGTCAAGTTGTATGTATTATTCCAATCGTATTTGAAAAATTTTTTTAGTAATTTTACTAACCTTTTTATAAATATAGTTACCCCAAATGAATTCATATCCACACAACAATAGTGTTTTAATTATGGACAATGCACGCATACACCATGATGACGGATTGTGTGAATATTTGGATGCATTTGGGGTGCGTGTAGAATTTCTCCCACCCTACTCACCTGACCTTAACCCTATCGAGTTAGCATTCTCTTCAATCAAAGGGTATTTGCGACAATATCGCTACTTTGATAAAAATTCATACGATTCAAAATATCCACTACTAGTCGCATGTGTACAAATTATGCCGGAGATAGCAAAAAATTTTTTTGAAACTTCGGGATATAAATAGTTATCGTGTTTAGAATAGCTAAATAAATAAATTTGCTTGTTTTACATATTAGTAACTCAATATGAATTTAGTAAGTTATTTTCTTATTTTGGCTAATAAAGAAATTTATCGATGCGACTTGAAACATAATTATAGTAATGTGAGGAACGATGTAAACCAAACCCAGGAATTCCAACCCTACTTTGAAATTCAACCCCTTAAGAACTAATCAACTCTATGAAATAAACATAGTGCAGTTGATAGTGTAGGTGAATTATTTTACAATTGTAAAAAAATTCTCCTGCATTACTAGACAACACCCGATTATTTATCTTATGGTTCACACTAAAGACCCCATTTGAAAAGCATTTTTGTATGAATTGATAATTCAAATTGTGCGATATTTATGCAAGGAACCATATACATATTTCGTATTATTATAATTTTGATCTATCATTGTATAATGCGATAATTATAGATTTTAGAATGATTTAACAATTATATATATATGCTTTTATTATTCGTTTAAAGATGCTTGCACAAATATCGCATAAATCTCATAAAAAATAACAATTAATTATATTTTAAGCCTATTATGTGACTGCATATGTCTGTGGTCTCTAGTTCACACTCTAGCTAATGACAGTTACGACATAATTTTTGAAATTAATAAAAACTTTTAAGATTCTATTAGATTCCAAACTACAGGTTTGGTGTTATCTCTAAAAGAACTAAAACAAGCAAGGTATAGTCTTAATTATAATATTACAAATTTTAGTATAGTATCTTTTCATAAAGCTTGCTCAAGTGGTTTCTAATAAGGCTGAATTTTATCGAAGACAGACATTCTTCCTGAAATTTGAAAATAATGAATTAAAGGAAAATACTTGTTATGTAAATTTTTTAGAACTAAAAAGCGCCATTAAGCAATTTCCCACTTACTAAGACTTGAGTCTATAATATAATACGATATTATTATCAATAAATATAAAAAAAGTCTGAAATAAGGTCAAGTGAAGAGAATGTTACAATATATAAAGCTAGGTAGGTGAATATGCAATTTCTAGTTATATCCATAACAATTGCGATGATTTAACAAACTAAATAACATTGAATACTGATATCAATTTATATATTTATATAATACGTATCATTCAATTACATAATTTTATATTTCCACCTCATACATATTGTTTGTACATTTTTTTTTGCAACTATATAAATTTCTCAATTCGGTGCCTAATGATTTACCAGTAATTGTTACTCCAACATATGCATTATATAAGCCATTTTGAAAGATATATTGAAAAAGACTAAATGCAATTATTATATTATCTTCAGATTTCCCCTTGCTATGATAACTAACAATTAGAAGCTATTCTTTTATCTTTGATATTTTTTAGCATATTCCCGCAGAGTTTGTCGTTCACCAATAGTCTCTACTCCAAATTTTGTAAATTCCTCATCCGTAAGTCTTCTTAATCGCTTTACTAAAATTCGTTGTGCATTAAATTTTTCTAAAAAATTTTGATACTGATTACCTGTTTCTTCTCCTTCGTCTACTTCTTTTAGAAATTCTGCCATAGTAGGTAAAGTAGAAGAAATATGTGGGTTAGATTGAATTGCTTGAAATTGTATAGAAATATGAGGTAATGTTTGATATGGGTTATATAAAGTTGGTTGGTGTGATTGAAACAGTTGAGATCCAAAAGCCCAATTGTACTGTGGTAGTGACGGTAAAATCAATGGTGTTTGCTGTAAAGGAAATGATGGTAGAATAAATTGGGGTTGTCCTTGTGATAATGGTGGCGATAGTTGTGATGGTTGTACAAATTGTGATGACAGTGGTTGTGCAAGTTGTACTTGTGTCGATTGTATATGTGGTGGCAGTAGTTGTATAAGTTGCGCATGTGGTGAAGATGATTGCCCAACTTGTACTTGTAGTGATGATTGTGTAAGTTGTACTTGTGGAGATTGTGATAGTTGTGTTTGTGGTGACAATGGTTGTGTAAGTTGTACTTGTGGAGATTGTGATAGTTGTGTCTGTGGTTGTGTAAGTTGTACTTGTGTATGTAGTGCATGTGGTGGCAAATATGGTAAAACTAATGGCATTTGTGATGACATAGTTGGTGGTGATTGTAAATAAGAAGATGGTAACTGCTTTTTGGATGATATATTAGCATAGGAAAAAAGAGGGTGTGTTGGAGGATTTTCGACCGTAGCCAGTCCTTTGTTCTAAAAATATACATAAATAAGTTTACTATAAGCAGTATAAATTGTTATAAACATTACCGTTACTATAATATACCATATCAGATGCCCAAATCGAGAGCATCATAAATGTAATTTTCATATGAAAATCTTTGTGGCTTTCTTTATTTATGCAGGGATGATTATGCACATTACAGTGATATGCATTTCTAATTTTTAACACATTTTCGGCAATCTCTTTATCATGTGAAGACAAAGACGAAACATTTGGGACTTGATTTTTGTTTTTGTAATTGTTTGATCTTTCATTATCTTCTTCACATTCGCTTAAATCCAATTCCTATAAAAAAATCAATATTATTTATAAGAATATGCTTTATACTATGGCTGTATTGATACATGTACTACCTTTTTTTTTCGTTTGTTTTGAGTAGATTGTTGCACAATTGTTACATAAATCCCGATATCGCTTTTTCTAGCAGCTAACTTTGTATATTCAGATTTGAACTTTATGAAATCTTGTTCATCGACCAATTGGGTGCCAGCGCCAGTTTCTCTTTGCGTTTTGAATGTCACAGAGTATTCATTTGGCATAATATTATTATCCTTTGTTATCAAAAGAATTTTATCGTGAATGGATAAAAGAAATTTATCAACTGTTGATACAGATTCTTTGAACCATTTAGCAGGTAACAAAACCCCATCCGCTGTTTTAACAAATAATTTATAATCTACTGCAAACTCAGATTCTTCATTTTCACTACTCATTTCACTTTCGTTAACTTGATCTTCACTTGCTGCAGCCGACGATAATTAGGAGGATGACCTAATTATTTCCTATAAATAAAAGCAATGTATTAATAAATATATTAATAAATGTATATATCTGTAATAAGAAAATATATTACATTATTATTCTTTTCATTGTTTATTGTAATATCTGTATTTTTTTTAACCTTCACGGGATTCACTTTGACTAAAACATTGTGGCATCGTCCACAAAGAGAAAACCGAAAAGACTTTTTCAAATTTATTCGATAATTGTGTTCCATGACTCTTCCATGAATGTATTCAAACTTGGGTGCTGCCCAAGTAGGTTCATAGATGCGTGTATACGCTTGTTTCACTGAATCTGTTCTATTTTTTTTCGTTGGTACTAGAGATAATTTACATTTACAAGTGGTGCTTCGCAAATCAGCTGCGCAGTACAAACACTTTCTACACCCAAAACAGGTGCCACAGTAATATTTAAGTTTAGTATTGGCAGCATATATTTGATTTGTTCGGGAAAAAGAAAAAATTTACTACTTTTGGAATTTTTTTTTTTTTTATATTCTACGTAAAAAAGAAAAATTTACTACTTTTGGAATTTTTTTTTTTATATTCGAAAAAGAAAAATTTACTACTTTTGGGATTTTTTTTTTTTTTATATTCTGAATTTAGATTCCAGATTCCCAGATTCCCGTGTGGTGTGTGATGCATGAAATTTGATGATCACAGTAATTTGAAAAGCGCAATAAATAAGTTAAGTTTGTATAAAATTTTTATTAAAAATAAAATACATATAACTAGGGATAAGCAAATCAAATATTTTTTGAATCTACTGCGACCCACATTATAGTTAACTGCTAATGCAGGCCAAAATTGTGAAATTCAGAAATGTTTCGAAATTCCGATCCCATTCCTATGTATCACAAACTATAACATAATAAGGAAGTTTTTAGAAAATTTTAGCTAAAATTGATAATTTTAGATATAAATTCATCAGAATTTAAAAATTTTAGAAAATTTGAGTTGACACTTGAAATTTTAGATCTAAAATTTTACGGGTCCCTGACCGTGTGGACCGTATGCCCGTGCCAATTGGACCGTAAATGGCTCGGGTTTTGCAGCAGTTTACTAGTCGAATCGGCACGGGATTTGGCACGGGTAATGATACATAAACTCACGTACCACCGCGATAACAGATACAAACATGTGGATTAATGATTATAACATAAATTTTACATTAGTAATCAACATAATATGGATAACTAACCACAAATGAAGTAAAGTTTTGTAAGAAATCTTTTTTGTTAAGATACTCAGAGCAGCTTTATCAGTGAAATTATGAGATATTACACTTTTAAAAAAAATATCATTTATTGATCTTTCGCTCTCCGCGAATCGAGCCAACACGTATCACAAGCCAAAACGTGTGCAGCGTACACATACGTGTCATCTGAAAGTGTCGTTCTATATGACGTGATATAACGGGCCACCCCTTGCCGTCTGCGCCATTCCGTAAAACGTGCCTGTGCGTGCCATACAATCCGTACCATTTTGTACATTCCCGAAACCAACCAGTACCACGATCCGTACCACTTTTCTTATAGTAGATAGCGATAGGGTAACGATAATAATGTAACAGCATAGTTATGTAATTTGTAAAAGTATTAACACCTTCTAAAAATGAATAAATGAAAATCATTATCCCTACCAAAAAAGGATTTTTCAAAAATCAGCATAGTGCACATCAAAAAAGTTGAACGCACCACATTTCATGTGATCGTACTAGTTTTATATTTTCTACAGGGGATCCCCGGATTTCCGGGTCGGAAAGGCCGGACTGCGTCGTGGTTTGGTCGGGGTTAGGGCTGAGTTAGGGTTAGCGGGAGCTATAGGCTATAGTAAAATTATCAGCTGGGCACTTTTCACTTAATGAACGATTATTGTTTCATTAGTAAAATTCTTAGTGATCTTGGGGCAAAATCGATCAACTCCGGCCCTTCCGGCATGAGTTCCGAAGCGCCCGACCCGGAATTTTTGGGATCTCCCTGTAGGAGTTTTATTTATTGCCTAGTTGGATATTTGATTAAATAATCGATTAAATAATTTATCGATGACTAAGCTGCGGCTTAGTCGACTAGCCGATAATAACCGACCGTAACCGACCGAACCCATCCCTACTGAAGAATTAGAATTCAGCATACAATCATATACAGGTGTTCCGATGTTTAACCATGATTATGGAGAAGTTTTGCTGGTACAATTGTAACGTCATCGATATGCAAACATAAGCACGTAAAGAAGGAAAACATATTGCTGTATTGAGAAATCTGATCACTGTTATTTACGGGCTCTATATTAAAACATAATATCCGACCTTAAAGAAGCATTACCATCTCAAACCAATTAATCATACAATTGCGTATCTAAGGCTACTAGAAAACATGTAGCCCAGTTCAGATCAGAGACCCGGAAAAGTTCATACATATATATATGAATAAAATGGAATTTTTGGCACAAAAGGGTATAAAATGAATTTTTAGAGCTAAGCATTACCACATGATTTATATTAATTTTAATTGGTTAAAAGTCATGCGATATTGATTATTGTGATAATTTTAAAATCTAGCGTTAAATATTCAATTCCTCTCAAACACTCAAATTAATATATACATTTCTGATATTGTTAGATCCCAAAGATACATACCACGCAACTTCAAGATTAGAAGTCCATTCTTCTTAGAGGGCATTCATAATTTATGTTAAAACAATACCGTATTGTAGAAATAGGGACCATGAAGATAATACTATATAGTATTATCTTTAAGATCCCTATAAAAATACTGGTTTAATGTAAATTATGGATGCCCCCTTATTATATAAATTTATGTATTATATAAATTTTATTACACACAAAGATCTTAAAATTCTGGAATTTAAACAGAATTAGCAATGGCAAATAAACTGTATACTATTATTTAAATGATTATAAATGAATTCAATAAATATATAGACTTGACAATTGAACCCATCGCACTAGTAGTATATAAAAAAAAATTTTATATCGGTATATACCAGATTTTTAACCAAATCGGAATAAATTTTTTACAAATCAAAATGTAATTTTTTCGGGTCCCTGATAAGGAGGTAGCAAGTGTTCCGAAAAGAAAATGAATGAACATAAAAGACGAGCAAGCTGAGACAAAAATTGAGCAAAGCTCCGAGAATTTACGAAGATAAACTGAAAAGTAGAGATAAAATAATTTGGTTCGGTTACCGATTAAAAGAAATTTTTCTCGGTTCAAATCATCAATTTCCGAAAGATCCTTATTTCTTGGAATCCTTCTCCATTCATTTCGGGTTTGTTTCTTTGTTGATACAACTCTGTACGCATCAGCAAGTCATTTAAATTCTAAATTCTTTATTTTGTTCTTTTTTTTTTTTTACTTTAATATTCTATTTTACTAGAACGGCTTCGATACTTGACATGTACTAGACGAATAGTATACGTATGATTTGTGATTGGTACGTATAAACTACTAGGTTGACAGGATATGTTAATGTCCGGAGCAAATTATATAATAAATTATATACTATATATATATATATATATATATAATATATATATATATAAATATATATAATAAAATCTATGTAAAATACAAAAATAACGATAATATATTATACTAAAGATTTATTGTGTATTACGTGGAGGACATCCTATCAAAGCATGTATAGTAGTAAAGGTTTTACCCAATTACTGTTTATTCTTATATCACATGGGTGGACATCCATTTTGATTAAAGTAAGTCTAGTAGTGATTTAGGTTAGCAAATAGATCACATATATGTGAGACATCCGGACATAGCGATCAACTTAAGCATAAACTGTAAGTCCTCCGCAATAAACGTTTTCTATTTTTCTTTTTTGCTTCGTTAAATTTCTTTTATACCATTTAAAGTATTCGGAGATTTTCTATTTTTCGCAGTTTTACTACGTCGATAACTTCTATGATTTAATAATGTGCAATTTCGATTTGTGTAAGGTAAAATTTTCCAATTGACTGCTAATCAATATATATATATATTCGTTTTGTATACTTTATACCAATCGATCAGTTGTTAATTTGACTTTTTGATTGCGCAATAATTATACAATTCGGAAGTTTATTTGATTTCCGGTAGTTGATTTTTAATATATCGGAATCAGTGTTTATCCAAATTGATTTTTCTGGGCCTTTCACAGGGGTTTCTTCTTTTGTTTCGATAAGCTATAACTCAAAAATTTACTAATTGATAATTTCCTTTCTTCAAAACAATAATTTGATTATCCTTTTACTGTGTTCCAAATTAAATTTTAACATTTCCACAACTGCTAATAGCTTCAGCTTGTTGATACTTTCTTGGTATATTTATTTTTTTTCAACTTGTTTTCTTTATTCTTACTGACTTCTATATTAAGTTAACGTTCTTTAAGCACAGTACGTTTACAACACAAGAAAGTCAGTTCTTCGGACTCGGTACGTTGGTCCAGATGATTCAACTTTTTCTTCAAGACTTGTAATCGGGTGTTGTAATAATCTCACAGATTCGTTTCCTTTGGTGTATGTGACGTTTTGGAAAATAATTCCACTCAAAAGAGGCGCATGATTTGGCTGGATAAGTATTTATTAATACGTTTGTTATTGTTAGATGCTTTGTTACATGCAAAATCTGCTTGCTTATATATTACTATTTTACTTGATATGCCTGATATATGCTATGCATTATGCGATTGATCTCGATAGTAAAGCAAATAATAAGCGAGTATGTAAAAATCAAAATCCAGACAATTGACGCAAGATAGGTTTTTAATGATAAAAGATATATCTTTTAAGCATTTTTAATGTTGACAAATGAATTACTTATTAGAAGAAATGTTTAAATTCAAAAATTCTGTATAGGGTAAATATCTTTTTTTAATATAGTCTAAAAATATATCAAAGATGATTTATAGGTGATTTATCGTTCGTGGGCGCAACCAGCTGCAGAAGCTCCAATTTTATTGTTTTAATAATTTTACCAAATAAATTTTTATTGCGACAGTAACATAATCAATTTATGGAGTCGTTAGTGAAAATTTCTTTGCAGAAACAAGTAATACGAAATATTTTCGAAAAAAATTATAATCTTAGTTATTGTTAAACATGGAAAAAAGTCTGCCCAAAATCTTAAAATCCCCAGTTTAGGTCATCTTTGCTGAAAATTTTTTAAATTTAGATTAATAAAAAATGTAATAGTAGTATTTGTTGTAGGTTAAAAGATAGGCTATATATTTATTACGTATTTGCTTTAAAAGCTTCGAGCATTAAAAATAAAGTAGATATTTTAGATCAGTTAGAAATTTGATTGTTTATTATGTAAAGCGACATTAATTAATGGCAAATTTTTGAAGAAGATGGGTTGTAGCTCGTTGATCTGCTCATCGAAATGGCAGCTCACTTGACTTTTTATTCAATTTCCGACTAATTAAATATTTACCTCCAATTCATTGAGTGAACACTCTAAATCAAATAGATAACAAACAAGATCCAAAGCCAATTGAAAAAAATTTGGTTTCGAAAATACCATAATAACAATGAATAGTAGCATGCAAATAAGCAATTTCTCAATGAGTAACAAAATGTGAGGCAAATCCAGCAGTGGTAAACTTAATCAGACATGATAACGCTAATCTTTCGTTGTATCGATCTTGATTTTAATAAAATCTTGATTGTTATCAGATAGCAAAAATCGAATAACTGAAATGTCTGTACTTTATTACATACAAATAAACGATGTTTGGTTAAAAATTGCACATTATATTAAAATATAATTTACCTTGAAACTTGCTATCAAAAGTACTAAATCGTATATTAACAATAATATGTTTTAAGCTAAAATCTAATATCATATACTATATATTCATACCAACATAAATACATTAACAATATAAATCAGAAATACAATTAAATATTGACTCTATAATCACAAGATGTGAACTTAGAATGATCTTATTAGTTCGTAAATTAGAATCGATTAAAACTGGTTTTTCACATGTTAAAAACAGAACCGATTCTGAACTCAAAAAAAAAAAAATCAGTGTACCTGAATTTAAAATTTATATCGATTAAAATGTAACATATGTAGTTTTAAAAATTATACTGATTAATATGTAACATAAGTACATATGTCAATTAAACTCAAGTTTAATATATAAGTTTAATAAATTAAATTGATTATAAAAAAAATCTTTGTACCTTTAAATTAAATCTGATAAACATAATCGTGGTTGCAAATCGACATGTTACTCAGAACCGTCAAATGATTTATAATCTTAATAGAAAAACAATATAAGACTAAAAAACGGTTGTTAAATTTAAAACTTGTGATCTCGTAAAGATTCGGATTCCTGATATTGATAGGCTAAAACGAGCGTATTGCGACTCATATCAAGTGAGAAGCAAGTTTAGAATTTTGGATACATGATTTTCAGCAAACGAATTAGAACCCTTAGGTACTGGTGAATTTCCTGAACTTGATGTAATTTCAACGGGCAAATTTATTTCAACAAAACTTAACCCAACTACTAAATATTACAAATGAAACATCCAACCAAGAAACTGAACAAGGTTTAAAGAAAAATGATGGCTGTCATTGTAATAAACCAAATTATGAAAGTGGGGGCTTTTTGTCATAAGACAATGCTCTTTGTACTTTTCGTTGTTGTTGTATTCGCCGGAGTACATGCAAAATTCATATAGCGCCTAACAGTTGTTAATTTTAACAATCGTGATAGAAGTTAAATACAATAATCAATAAAAATAATTTGATTTGCGTTGTGAATTTTTTTTTTTTTTTTTAATCGATAAAATCATACCGATACCGAAGTAATTTCGAAGCTACTACGTACGTACGTACGTATGTCAATTTTTAATTGACGGAAATTTTTTTTTTATACTATGTCTTACTTATACGTGTATATATGTATGTATTGTCAATCGTTTCTCTTTTGATTATAATATTAATATATAAGGTTAGTAAACATTACTATTTTGGTTACTCAGTTTTAGTTCAATACAAATAAAAGAACTTCGTTATTTTTGTAATTACAAAAACTCTTTTTCGACAAAAATTAACTGATGCAAGTAATAAATTTAGTTTATTAATTTTATTAAATATTTATTATAAAAATCTATACAATCTAATAACAGTTATCATAAATTATCAGAAAATAATGTAGAAATTCTATTATCAAATGTAAGAATTATTTATATATATATTATGCCAAAGTCTAGATAATAAAAATGCTTTTTTAAAGCAGGCTTTGGTTATATTAAGCTTTGTATATTTTTTAAACTAATATATAGATACTTTAGGATCCGTCTTTTGATGAACGTAACTTATTTATGTGTTAGTTTTAAATATATTAAAGTTTAATATTTTAATAATAATCTTTTTTGGGTGTGACAAATATTTTACCTAAGAGGTGGCATGCCCAAAATTTTTTTAGGGTGTGACAATTAAGAAAGTTGTCTGGAGTAAAGCAACAGACTCATACTTCTATGCCCTTTGATGACTGAAATTATGTTTTTGATATTTCAATAGAAGTATCAATACAAGAAATCATATGGAAAATACAATTCAATCAGATTCATGAATTCAGATACACCCCTCACTTGCCATATAACTATGTGCTTCATTGCACTCCATTCCTGGTATTTGCACTATAAATTCCTGAATTAATAATTTCATTAAATTTCTACTTATCTTCCCCTTGCATACTAGATTCTCTTGCTGAAACCGGGATCACTTATGTGATCATCGCTTACTACAGTAATGCATCACTGCTTAGCTGTCTTTTTGATCTGTTGACCTACTGTAACTTGAATTAACATTAATTTGATTTAGAAAATGTGTATTAAATGGGACTAATAAACGGAATAGGTAGATGCATGAATAAATCAGGTAAGAAACAGAATATAGATTGCGCTTATTTTTAATACCCATATTTGTATGAAAATCAACGTTTAACATTTTAAGCTACATTTCCAGGACTAAATTTATGAGCGTACATACATGCCATAATGATAAACTATTCTATACCAAAGAAGAGATAATAACCTGTATATGATGAAAGTTAATTTAAAATAAGCATAGATCTTATATATCAGATATCATTGCAATTAATGGGAAATAGAAATAAATGATCTCTTTATAGGAAACTAACTCAACCTTAACTACTATGCATTGTATTAATAAGCAAGTTCTGTAACAGAATCTTTAACAATAACTCACAATAGACTTAAGTGTGTTGGAATAGCAAGTAGATTTGTAATAGAAAATCCAATACATACTAATTTGTCTCTAACCACATACTATGTGTACTGGAGTAGTAAGTAGATTTTGTAGCAAAATTTTTACGGTAATACCAATGCATATCATGATCTCTAGATAGTGAGTAAGTTCTATAAGAATTTTCCAAGTAGCCCATGGTAGAATCACAATAATTCTAATGTATACAACTGTCATCAAAATAGTAAGTAAATTATATAACACATAAGTTTTGTAACAATATTTTTTACAGTAGCTCACAATAGAAATTATCATTGTAACAGAATTTTTTATAGTAACTTACAATAGTAATTACGATTTCAATACAAATTAACTACACATTATGCATCACTTAAATAGCAGGTTTTGTTACAGTAACTAACAGTAGAAATCATAATTTCAATTCACAAGTACTGTATAACACTGGAATAACAAATAAGTTCTGTATTAGAATTTTTTACAATAATTCGCAATAGAGATCATGATAACTTTAATGCAAACTAAAGCCAACCAACTCGGCTTAATTACATACTGTGGCCACCAGAATAAAAGATAAGTCCTTTATAGTAACTCACGATATAAATTACGAAATTCTAATACAAACTAATACAACTTTAATTATACTATGTAACAGAATTTTTACAAACACATACTGAATAGCAAGTAAGTTCTGTAACAATTCTTTATAGTAGAATAATTCTAATACTGTATTCGTCCGAAATAAGCACCCTTTTTTGCTATAAGGTTCTGATTTACTTATTTCTATTATATAAGAGGTGCTTATTTTCGGGTATATATGAATTGTAGGGGTGCTTACTTTCGAAGTGCTTATTTTCGGAGGAATACGGTACAAACTAACTTAACTATAATAGAATAGCAAGTTTTGTAACAAAAGTTTTAGAGTACCTCATAGTAGAAATCAAGATAATTTCAATACAAGTTACAATCACTAAAATAGTAAGTACAATAAAACTTTTTAAGTATCTCGTAACAGAAATAATAATTTTAATGTAAACTAACTTAGTCTTAACCATATGTTATTGCTATTGGAATAACAATTAGTAAAAATCAAGATGATTTCAATGCTAACTAATTTAATCTTAATAACATACTGTGATCACTTGAATAGCAAGTAAGTTTTTAACAGTTTTTACAATATATTAGAGTGGAAATTATGATAATTCAATTCAATCAACTATTGTGTGTATCGAATTAGCAAGTTCTATAGGAATTCTTTACGGTAAATTATGTAGTAATTAATTCAACCATAACTATTATGCATAACTATATTAATGAGTAAATTTTATAAGAATTTTTTGCCATAACAGAAATAAGATAATTCTAATACAACCAATTCAACCTTGTCTTTATACAGTAATCACCGAAATAGCAAGTTCTGTACTAAATTTTAAACA